TTGTGTGTGTGATGGTTGTGTGTGTGATGGTTGTGTGTGTGATGGTTGTGTGTGTGATGGTTGTGTGTGTGTGATGGTTGTTGGTTGTGTGTGTGTGATGGTTGTTGGTTGTGTGTGTGTGATGGTTGTTGGTTGTGTGTGTGTTGGTTGTGTGTGTGATGGTTGTTGGTTGTGTGTGTGATGGTTGTTGGTTGTGTGTGTGTTGGTTGTGTGTGTGATGGTTGTGTGTGTTTTGGACCCAAACTGAAGAGTTATTAAGGAACCAATAAAAAGTTCTTTAAGTTCAGAAAATCAAGTCAACTTTTACAAAAAACGTCTGAACAAATTTAAAAACAGAACATTTTTCTTTCAGCACCGACCTGTCCTGCCTTGCTCTCTTTGATTCAGTCTCTCCAGAACCTCCATCAGAACCCTGGTCTCCTGCGTGGCTCCGCTCATCTATTCCTATGTTTTCCTCTGCGGCGGCGGCGGTGCTGCAGCGCAGCCGGCTGTCAGAACCTCCTGACCCGGGAACCTGAGCAAGAAACCAGAGGGTAAAGGGGATCCAGAGCAGGAGGAGGTGATGAGTTTGTTTTATTTACTTGCAGAGGAGGAGGAGGAGGAGGAGGAGGAGGAGGAGGCCTCCTCCCAGGACTGACAGGAAATCGAACCTTCGCTACGCTGCCGCCTGCAGCAGGTAGGAAACACCTGCAGAAAGGAGGGAGCAGAGTTTAAACAACCTGCAGGAGCAGGTGATGTAAAAACATCCTGGGTTTACCTGAACGTTCAGCAAAGTTTCTGATTATTATCAGAGGAAATGACTGTTTCTGCTGAGATGAAACAAACACACCTGAAGCTGCACCTGCTGATAATAACCAATCAGAACTCACCTGGTTGCTCTCCGTGTCTGTTTGACCATGATGACCTCTGACCCTAAACACAAACCAGCTTTATCACTTCAGAAAATCATTATTCTAATTGTAATTTAGCGTTTACAGACACCTATTATTCTTGTCACAAATATAATAATTTATGTTTAAAATGACATAAACGATGGGGGGGGGGGGGGGGCAGACAGGGTCTCTGAAATAAGGTTACCTTTTCTACATAAAACTGTTGGAAATTTAAAAACATCTCTGAAGAAGATAAACACGCCGATTTAAAGTAGAGATAATTTTAATTATTAATGTATCCAAATAAATAATTTATGTAACATGTTCGTAAGGTTAAAAAGTAAACAAATATTAAATTACACGTTTTTTAACTGAGAACTGGCGCTGTACGCCGCTAAGCTAAGAAAAACAAGCTAAATAAAACATATTATGACCAACAATTTACAAGTTATTAATTTTATCTCAGTTCCTTGGTTGAAATATATACTCGCAGTGTAATTATATTAACTGAAAGTGAGAAAAATAAAGTAAGAAATTATTTTAAAGGCTCACCTCGATGCTAAAAGCTAACTCCTCTACAGCTAACACAAACAAACACAGCGCCGCTGCTGCTCAGTGAGTTCCTCCTCCTGCCCCCTGCCGGCCAGGAGGAGGAACTGCAGCCTCTGAATCAACAGGTCAGGGAGTCCAGCTGTTTTTAAACAGTTAATCATATCCAGATTGCTATTTTAAAATTGAACTGACTCTACAGACTTCTTTCCAAGTTGTTTTTTAAATATATTTTGTCTGTTTAATGCCGTGGTAGTTCTTATGCATCCATTTTCTTACCAGCTTTTCAGTGAAGAATTAGACTTCATGTTTTAAAACTAATTATCTGCTCATTCGTCAGATATTTTTCTCATCTTCAGTCTTCTGTTCATCCTGATGTGGAGCAACATCTGTGAGAGACTCGACTCGCTGTGCAGTTGGAGTTCTTTTCTTCTTTGTTTCAGAATAAGAAACACATTTTAGTTTCAGACGTTACCGTAAACAGATGATGGACACACAAACCAGACCGTGTGTGTGTGTGTGTGTGTGTGTGTGTGTGTGTGTGTGTGTGGAATAGTGTTTGCGGTTGCTNGTGTGTGTGTGTGTGTGTGTGTGTGTGTGTGTGTGTGTGTGTGTGTAAGGACAGTCCGTTAAAGGTCCAGATCAGAACCAGCTCCAGATGTTGACGACGACTTTATTAAAAATGAGAAACAGATGAAAATGTTGCAGAGACAAACCTGAGTTTATTTCTACAGTTTTGATTCTAAAATTCATTAAAAAAAACTCGTTTTTGATGTTTTGATTCTTCTGCAGGATCAGAACCGTCCTGCTGACACCAGAAACCAGCAAATGTTTGGGTGGACCCGAGCTTCAGATGAGGTTCTGTGTTAATGGATTCACCACATGGAGCTTCAGGTTCCTCTGAGGAAGATGAAGAGGATTTTCTCTCTGCTGGTTTCACCGGACCCTCAACTTCCTGTCGTCTGTGAACCGGTTCGGTCCGAGACGCTGAGGGTTCTACTGGGTTCTGAGGAGGATCAGCCGGGTTCTCCTCTGAAGAAACGTTTAGCTTTTAGTGAAAAGTTTTAAGTTTTATTTCAGTAATCGAAAAGAAAAAGCAAACAAAATAATGCTGAGTCATCATTTGCACAATATTCCTACCACAGTTTTTACTCTTTGTGGTCAAAAACTGAACCTTCTGCAAATAAAAACAAACGTCTTACAGGTTAAAGCAAATCTTTATTATCATAGTGACTCATGAAACAATAAAAATATATGAATCAATTCAAATTAAACATTTTTAAATGTATCAGATTATGTAATAACTGGGACTAAAACAACATTTTAATCCAAGTCCAGCAGCAGCAGGTCACAGCTTGTGTCCCAGCATGCATCACTGCACAGCGTACGCTCACTTTATGCATAAATAAATAAAACTGAACCCAGAGCAGGACTGGTCCTGAGCTGAGGTCAGAACAGACAGGAAGTCTGAAGAATCAACAAATAATCTGGACCTGAACCACTTCCTGTTTGAAACAAATGTTTTTTTTAAAGAAACAGAGATTTGACCTGAACACAGAGACGAGTCTGAGGCTCAAACCTGCGACTTCCAGCAGACACTCAACCCGCTGAGCCGCCGTGACACCAGTAGATAACGTGAAGAGGAATTACATCATCCACTCTGTCCTGTATTCGCCAAAATAAAAGTCTGCTGGACACACAGGAAGTGACATCATGTGGAGGTCAGTATAAGTCCTGGTCATAGTCGTCCATCAGCTGTTTCATCTCAGACACACTGTTGGACAGGTAGGACGACAGCTCCTCTAGATGGACAGACAGGTGAGAACAGGCAGAGACAGGTGAGAACAGGTGAGACAGGTAGACACAGGTGAGACACGTAGAGACAGGTGAGAACAGGTGAGACAGGTGAGACAGGTAGAGACAGGTGAGAACATGTGAGACAGGTAGAGACAGGTGAACATGTGAGACAGGTAGAGACAGGTGAGAACAGGTAGAGACAGGTGAGAACAGGTAGAGACAGGCAGAGACAGGTAGAGACAGGTGAGAACAGGTAGAGACAGATGAGAACATGTGAGACAGGTGAGACCACGTAGAGACAGGTAGAGACAGGTGAGAACATGTGAGACAGGTAGAGACAGGTGAGAACAGGTAGAGACAGGTAGAGACAGGTAGAGACAGGTGAGAACAGGTAGAGACAGATGAGAACATGTGAGACAGGTGAGAACATGTGAGACAGGTGAGAACACGTAGACACAGGTAGAGACAGGTGAGAACAGGTAGAGACAGGTGAGAACATGTGAGACAGGTAGAGACAGGTGAGACAGGTCAGAACAGGTAGAGACAGGTGAGAACAACTGAGAACAGGTGAGAACAATTGAGAACAGGTGAGACAGGTAGAGACAGGTGAGAACAGGTGAGACAGGTAATAACATAAACAGGAGAGACAGAAGAGTGAGGACCAGCAGGAACCAGATCCAGTCTCTGGTCTTCTGTCTCACCTGCTCTCAGGACCTCCAGGACAGCGGCGGCAGAGACAGACCCCTGGTTGTTGTGAGCTGTGCAGTGATAGGTTCCAGAGTCACTTAGCTCCGCCCCCTCAATCTGAAGCCAACTGGAGAGCTCAAACTTGAGAGGACCGCCCCTCGACTGTGAGACAAAGCACATCAGGACACATCTGGAGCAGATGACAGAAGTACCAAACAGGGGGGCGGGGCTACAGACAGGTGTGTGCATACCTGGACAGAGATGTGAGGGTCGTCTCCAGGTAAGATGACGTCTCGTCCCGCCTTCTTCCACTCCACCTGAGCCATCGGGAATGCAAAGACCTCACAGAGGAAAATCAGACTGCTGCCAGACCCGTTCACCTGGTCCTGAGGTGGGACCTTGATGACGGGGGCTGACAGATGAGACAGACAGGTAAAGGACAGGTAGAGACAGATAGGGACAGGTGAGCACAGGTGAGACAGACAGGTAAAAGACAGGTAGAGACAGATAGGGACAGGTGAGCACAGGTGAGACAGACAGGTAAAGGACAGGTAGAGACAGACAGGGACAGGTAGAGACAGAAAGGGACAGGTAGGGACAGGTAGGACAGGTAAGGGCAGGTAAATACAGACAGATAAAAGACAGGTAGACATATTTTACAAACATTCTCTTCCTTCCTCTGTTGTGTGATTGTGTCTCTTTCAGCTGTCTCATCTCACCTGTCCCTCACCTGTCTCTCACCTGTCCCTCACCTGTCTCTCACCTGTCCCTCACCTGTCCCCTCACCTGTCTTTCACCTGTCCCTCACCTGTCTCCCACTTGTCTCTCACTTGTCTCTCACCTGTCCCTCACCTGTCTTTGACCTGTCCCTCACCTGTCTCTCACTTGTCTCTCACTTGTCTCTCACCTGTCCCTCACCTGTCCCCTCACCTGTCCCTCACCTGTCTTTCACCTGTCCATCACCTGTCTCTCACTTGTCTCTCACCTGTCTCTCACTTGTCTCTCACTTGTCTCTCACCTGTCCCTCACCTGTCCCCTCACCTGTCCCTCACCTGTCTTTCACCTGTCCCTCACCTGTCTCTCACCTGTCTCTCACTTGTCTCTCACCTGTCCCTCACCTGTCCCTCACCTGTCCCTCACCTGTCCCCTCACCTGTCTTTCACCTGTCCCTCACCTGTCTCTCACCTGTCCCTCACCTGTCCC